GTTTAACATTGCAGACTACTCGCCTTGTATTATTTCATGTCAGGATATATATCTTATATCTTACCCAAACATAACCGTAACAACTTTCTTTGGTTATATATTATAATTCACTTTCACGTGTATGAATGTCAATTATAAGCGAGGAATTTGGAAGAGTAAGTCCTGCTGATTAACCTATACATGTATATGTGTCAGTTATTCGCCTGGTATTTGTATGAGAGCGATAAAAGTCTTTCCATAATCGTACGATTTCGACTACCAAAAGCTCGTGTTTATGAATCACTAATATATGATGATATTGGGTGTTGCCAAAACGTTGAACACCACCAGTAACACCGTCATAACCACATGCAAAGGCAAGGCAAGTGTTTACCTGAACACAGTACTTATGGTATAAGTCAAAATAGGGAATTGCATTTTGCTAATATACTACCCATCAAAAGATTAGACTCACTTAAAGCACTCACTATATGTTATGTATATACATGTATGTGTGGTTACATCGAAGATGAATTTCTCCCCTAACTTGGGGAACCAACTGCAAACCTTATGCAGATGAATTGCATGAGGATCATGCATCAAATTGCTGAAAAGCATGTGCAAATATCGTGCATGTGAACAGTTGCGTTTTGGTGTAAAGTTTTGTTAAGAATTCACCAATTTTCACTGAGTTTCATCATTTATTGAACTCATGACAATAATCTTTACAACGTTACGAATTTGTTTTACAATACATCAGTTCATGTGTAAACAGTACCTCTAAACTGTATGGAATATTTTACAAAATCTAGTTTAGAACAGTTGACTGAAGTAAGTGGCTACATTTACACTAGTGAGTCTAAACCTTTGATTGGTAGTATATATATATATAACATTGAAAACCTCTAAATACCACTTTGGGAACAAATATACCCAATGCAGCCCATGCAATTCTAGAATGTGTGGCAAGTCCAGATTATCGTAGTTTTTGAAAGATTCTGGGCTTCTTTCTATTTATTTTAGGAACATAATTTAGGAACTGTTGTTCTGAAAAGTATGTTCATTTCAGAGATTAGATTTTAGTCTACCATTTTAGATATGTTAAAAAATTGGGAGGTGCCAGACTGCCATTTTATGCCAGAAATGACGATTTCTTATTTGAAAATGAAATTTTACCAAAAAATCCATATGGAGCCAAGAACAACATTAATTTCAGTGAGGCAATACAGACTTGCCAAGTCATTCCTGACTTGAGTAGGACTCCTATAGCCTGAGTGACAGATTAGACAGTCACCCTCAGAAACTATAATGAGTATATCTCCGTCACAGTAAACCTGCACGACTCAGCCATTTCATAATCCTTTACACGTTGTCGTAAATGAAGAAATGTCCTACAGATCACATGATAACTGACACCCGTGACCTTGCGACCTCTCCGTCTATCTTGTAAATAGCGTGTTGATATAAGCAATGTACATGACTCACACACCTCTCGCATGTCGGTCACGGGACGAGCCGCGCTGTGACTAGCGTGTATGGAGTTAAAACGTAATAAGTGTCACCATATGGCGAAGTAAATTGATTGTAATTTGTTTTATGACTTTCTCGGAAATTCAATTCCGGCTCCTTTAAGAGTTACATATTTAAACAACGATAAATATCCATATCGTTATCATAATTATGTTGGTTGATTTCAGCCTGTATGCAAGTAGTATTTTTGAGTTTGATGAACATGAGCTGAGATGTAGTGAAAAGGGGGTTTAACTTAGCGTTCAACATTATTGCACCTACATAGCATCGTGAATAAGTGAGTGCGTGTGCGTGTGCGTGTGCGTGTGCGTGCGCGTATTCGTGCTTGTGGTAATCCGGGTAGACTTGCACAAATCTCTAAGGTAATAACGAATAGTTTAAATAATAATTTCTTAAAAATATAAACATTCCTCCAACAATTTGTCCTCTAATCTAGACTTGCCTCTTTAAAGGATAGAATTACTATACACAGATTGGCTTAGCATTCAGTACAGCCTACGAGCAAGGCTATAATCCGTGCAAATGCAGGTTTCCATTGAGACGCTGTTCAACGGTGATAGAATATTCAGACATAGTATCCTGACCCCCAGATAGAATAAGGCTTAGTCTCTGAATATATATAGTTTTGATAGTAACAAATAATCCCATTTCAATTGAAAAGGAGCCCCAGTGAGATTGGAAATTCCTGGACCTGAGGAAAACTAGACTTGCTTTCATTTAGGGCTTAAGCATGTCAGAAAGGGCTAGGCGGTAGGAAAAATAATGTGGTTCAGGGACTGTGAGACAGACTAACTCCCAGCCGATCAGTCTCTATTGTATCATTCTTATTGCTGTGCGCCAGGCAGGTACAATTTAACGAGTGACATCTTGTACAACAGCCGACCTCCGCTCTTTGGGAAGACGCTCTGTTCACCAGACCACAGTTTGATGGGGGTTATCTTGTGGTAAAGATCACGGTTGGTTCTATATCGTTCGGTCAGAATTCTCTATCCATATCGCTTGCGACAGCAATTAACTATGGAATGTTTCTCTTCTGTATCTGGTCTTTTGGAATTTCTGTACAGATAAACATATAACTAAACAAAGGCATTAGTGTCCAACTAAAATTATACACATCTTTAGTTTTCAACTCTTTTGGCGAGTAAAATGATGATCACATGTTTTCCTCATGTTTTTCTGGGGCGATGGGGTAGCCTAGTGGTTAAAGCGTTCGCTTGTCACGCCGAAGGCCCGGGTTCGATTCCCCACATGGGTGCAATGTGTGAAGCCCATTTCTGGTGCCCCCCCGCCGTGGTATTGCTGTAATATTGCTTCAAGCGGCGTAAAACTAAACTCACTCACTCACTCCACAAGTTTTCCACGTGTGTTTACAGTTATGCTTGTAGCCAGGATGTTGGTGGTTAACACTTTGGTTAATCCGCTGGATATACGATAGCAATCAATATTGGCGAACACATTTTAGCGGACAAATATTGCATTTGATAATTGTGGAAACTTATGTCTGTATATTTTCCACTTATGATAATAATGTGTGTGTACTTATATTGCGCTAGCTTCCATTAACAGGATGTTTGCTCAAAGCATACATATACATTATAGGATGCATATACATGTATATAAGATCGGCGTGCACACAAAACCTTTGTTATTCGGTCAGTACTCGTATTTAGTCTTAATTTAGTCTTCATATTTTAAAAATGTTATTAATAATACCACGTTTATAGAAATACACCCTTTTGTTGCCCACATGCAATGATTTGCAAGGGTATGTCTATTTCCATCTTCTCTCTGCCAGATCAATGCCTTCCTGTGTAATATTGTCCTGTGTTGTGCGTGTCAACGTGGTCTGTATGTGTGGTTATTCACGTATTATTCGCCTACGTAACGGTTAACTCACAATGCATCGTTTGTTCTATTGTCTCTGAAACAATCGTTTTTGGAATATCAGGATTATCCATGTGCGTGGTACCGGTAGGTGTAGGAGAGATCCTGGAGGGGAATATGACCCCTATCGTATGATGGTATTCCTTTAGATTCTGGACTAGATTAGGACCCTTATCGTATGATGGTATTCCTTTAGATTCTGGACTGGAATAGGACCCCGTTTCGCATGATTATGTTCCGTTTATATTCTGGACTGGAATAGGGCCCATATCGTATAATGGTATTCCTTTAACTTCTGGAGTGGAATAGGACCCCGTATCGCATGGTTGTTTTTCCTTTAGATTCTAGACTGGAATAGGACCCCTATCGTATGTGGTATTCCTTTAGATTCTGGACTGGAATAGGACCCCGTATCGCATGATTGTGTTTCATTTAGATTCTGGACTGGAATAGAACCTCTGTCGCATGGTTATGATTCGTTTATATTTTCCTCCCTTTAGACCCTTCACTAGATTAGGACCTCGTATCGCCAGATTGGATTCTGGAGGAGAGTTGGTTCCCATATTTAATGATTATCATCCCTTGGGATTCCTTTGGATATTCTATTCGTGGAATTCTGGGACAGTGGAGCTCTCCAGCATCTCCTGGTTTTCTACATCTTCCAACTGTTGATTAAGGAGCCCAATGTACCTCAGGCACTCTCTCTTATCTACCCGTGAGCTGCCATAACATGTGCAGGTCTCTCTACCCCTTACGCGAGTACCCATTGAGATTCCAGATATATTTATCGCTCTATTGAATAGTCCTGTAAATTCGATCAATGTCTATTTGTACAAGTGTGTTTTAAGTGTGTACAGAATGGAGACATTTATAAACTACTGTCTGTCTTCCAGGGCAAAGTAGATCTTAAATATTATGTCCTTGTTTGGTCAAAACTGAATGAGTGGTTGTTGACTACCGTGTTAAGCGACATTCACTGCCATGCGTGTTCGTCTCAAGCGGAGTATGATTGGTGCCCAGTGTTCGCAGCTGCTTTGGGGAATCCCGTAAAAAACTAAATAGAGGCCCTGGTGTCTTTTTATTTCAGAGACCTCTCACATGTTGGGAATTTAAATCTGGTGCACATTTTTCAGTTGCGGTGGGATGAAGATGTGAATTCGCATTTTTTTATGATAATGACTTTCTATTCAATGTCCATTTGTTGAGTATTTAAAGGGATCTATTTGGGAATTACGGTTGAGCTGCAGTTGTTGGACGTGGGTGCTACAAATTGGCTCCACGTCTTTCATTTTTTATGTTTGGGTGCAAATTCAGTGATAGAGCGAACGCATCGCTTACTCGACTGTGCGTTGTCCGGGGTTTGAACATCTACAACGAATCCCCTTTTATCCAGACTGTAACTTTGCCAGTGAAACATCAGGTTAACCGATGGCACTCAGTAATGCCCCTGTTATTATAAAACCCACCAGGCTCACAACAGCCTGGAATGTAAGGGTTTCCCGACTGACAGGGTTTCGCTGTAATTATTTCCTCAACACACACCCGCACGCACGCACACACACACACACACACTGCTCCTTCACAGAGACATAAGACAAAGTCGCTTATTAAATTTTAAAAAGTGAGTTTTATTCTCAATACATTGTATTCATATCTTTTTGGTGGCTCTCCGTCACATACGTATCATACACTCCTACCAAACAGCTGACTACGATCCACCTTTCCTCATTGGTCGAGGAAACATAACCATATCTAACAACGTCCACTGATTGGTCAAACTGAACGTCAATCAAATACCATGACAGAAATATTGCACAACAAATGTTCCTTTGGCAACACTGTATAAATACAGAGACGTCTAGTAGTGTTCTATGTCCTAGGTGTCTCCATCGGCGATTCTTGCCGACGGTTGCCGATAATTACCGACCACTGCCGACTGCTATGATGTTGCCAATTTTGTTAAGGAATGATACATACTTGGTAGTACAAAATAAATTATAAATAAATACTGAAATAATTTAGTGGATTTATATACAACACAGTTTCAACGACATTGTGACATGTTCTTTCTGCATAGGTACGATCGAGTACTTATGAAATGTACAATATTTTTTTATGACTACATGCATGTGAGTCAGGTATTCTAAGGCATTGGTGGTGAAATGAACATGAGTGATAGATGATATCAGTCAAACTGTCACCCTGACATCCCTAGACGCAGCTCGACCTCCCCACGTTGTAACAATGATAAGATCCTGTGGGTGGAGAGCAGCGCTGGGGGTAGGGCGTTGTAACCGTTTCAGAAAACATCAAAACCAACGGATTACGAACAGCACCATTGAAATGGAACAAAATACACATCTAACACATAAAAAAGATTCTTTCTCTCAGTTCTGTTTTTTGTCGAGGTAGTAGATTTAAGAGTTCGATACGGCTAAAGACTCACAAGACATTCTCACTGAATTACTGGAATGACGATACGCACGCAACACTGAACAGGTGTTAACGAATAGTGGTGGATGACGATATGACACTGACGCTATGGATGACAACCGCGATTATTTCCTACAAGAACTGTTTGCTACAACGTGGATCTCAAAGGCTACTGCCATCTTCCACGGCAGAACCAGGAGCCGGAAGTTCGTGACTAGTTACAAAATGGCCGACGTGATACATCCGGCCATAAATTCATGCCCGTGGAAGAGTTCAAATGCCCGGTGGGCATGAAGACACAAGTGTTCAATGCTATCATGCGTTGCACTCTTTCAACTTTGGTCCATTTTATCGTTCCGAGCACGTGAAGATGAGATTCGACCTCGGATCATTTGGCAGGCTTTATTTTGATGGGTAAAGTTGCATTGATGACTTAATATGAACGGTCGTCCGTCCGTCCCTCGTGATTGGGGGGAGCGAGGCTTGAGGGGAGAAAGGCACGGTTCGACCTCAGATCAGACGTTGTCACCATGGTAACCGATGAGACGCTGTCACCATGACACCCGTCACCATGACAACCGGAATGTTAGCACAAGATGTCTCTGATAGAAAACCATTCACAACGTCAATGAGTGAAGAAGTCATTTGTTATCACACAGTGCTTTCTACGCCTTGGAGTTTGGGCTGTAGGACCCTCGGCGTTTCCCCTAGGTTCAAGTCTCTTTCAAATTCCATCAGCTGTCCCATGAAGTTAAAGTTTGGCGATATGATGCCGCGCTTTCCTTTGACGTATTTGTAAGCGTCTGTCATAGTCATCTTCGTATGCTTGAGAATGTAAGCGATGGTGATAGTGGCTGACCGTGACACGCCTGCGTGACAATGGATGAGTACGTGACCGCCAGTCTGCCGACAATCATCTGGAAAAAAAGATATGGAACAATTATAAATTTGCTTCATATAATGACATTTAGTCCCATAAATAAAATTATTTTATTCATCAATATTTATCTTTGAAAATATAAATAATATATAATTTCATATATGCGATAGACTTTCTCAATCACTTAACAACTGAACAACACCATTACACCAACTTCTAAATGCCACTCAAACAAGTCACTTAACACTTGAAATGGATTTTTAAACTTACTTTAACAGTCAATTGGCAGATTATACTATTCACAACTACATAAATGGCAAAATGAAATTCAGAATGAAAGTGTTAAAACCCCCTAGAAAATGAATAAATCAATGCTGTAAATATATTTGACGATGAATCACCAGATAATCATAGCTATTCGTTTCTGTGGTAACATCTACTATTTCCGTGTAAAGTGCAATAAACAAGGAAGGACTTGAACGTTTAATCACACCGTCTTATGTGAATGTGCTACACGTTAAACATACGAAAGTAGCTAAGTTGGAGCTCTCTAATGTCAAGCGGTGTAAGGAGCTTAGGTCGGATGCGCACAACTGGACTGCTCCCTGTCAAAACCAATTAGCAATGACGCATGACTCACGATACGCTGAAGCGGATTTCATGGGGACAGCTGATGGCTAATTTTGATCGATAGCCATAATGATACGAAGACCGGTCAAAATATTGACATATGTACCGAAATAGGTACAAGGAACCGATAGGATTCGATTGCAAGTAATAATCCATTTTCCCGAAGAAATTAAAAAATAAAACGTACTTTTATAACATTGGACACACAAGGTGGAAAATTCGAACAATGCTTTCCTGGAAAATCTGAAATAGCGTGCAAATATCCTCATCTAGACATGTAAATTCGCGTTAAAAGCTTAATTAGATCGATCAAATAAATGTTTATTAAATCTCACACGCTATATGACCGGACAACAATGGGTTGCTCGCGGATGCACCAATAAACACGAATAAAATGAGTTTCACATTTCAATAGTTATTGTTAGGCGTCACACACATGCTACGTGCCATGGGACATATTTTACCAGGTTGGAGTGTGTTGTAATGCGTTCTGTGCACAGGCCTGACTCATATCACTTCTATGGGCAGTACAGCTACAGCCTTCTCAACAACAAATGCTAAAGAGCCAGATCTGTTTGCTCAAATGTTTCCTGTTAATATTTATTTCCGTGTTACTCGCATAACAAATCAGCTACCTTCACAAAACATGTTTAAAATTTAAATCTTGCATCAAACACGTGTACGAATGCGGAAACGAAAAATCAATAATCTTTTTTCAAAGTCCGGTTTCAAACAATTTAGTTATGATCTAAAACATAAGTCGCGTTTCTTGGCTACTCCCTTTGACAAAGCTTGATGGAAAACGTTTTTAACTTTCTGCTAGTGTTTGTTCCCAACGTGGCACATCCTTCGCGGAGCATTTTTATTAAAGCATTTGCTATTTTAGACATGCTCCCATGTTGGCATTGGGAACACGAAGCTTTGGTGCTTATGCCCTCCTTCGGCAAACCTCTTTAATTCGGCTAGGTGCTGTTGTTTAATCGATAGCACACCTGAATCGAACAAAGGCTCTCGTCCCACCGCTTAGATGCAAACCATCATCCATACTCTGACTCACGGTGCAGTGCGTTGTCACCTCTAACTCTCCCCTCCCAACAAAACGCCGAGCGACCATCTGTCTCAAACCGAAGCCCGATAATTAGACAACATCCCCTCTCTACCCCTCGCACGTGGTCTCCATAGCAACATATCCATAACGATGAGTCATACTACCTGAGAACCAAAGCGATAATGCAAATCTATAACGCGCGCGTGCACCCCCAGCACAGGTAACAGAGGCTTTTGTTGGTAGCTGAGCCGGTAGGCCGTCTCCGCTGTCTGAGCTGTAAATACCGTTCAGACGGTGTGTTCAATATTAGCATCTTCCCCCTACTGGACAAGGTGATGAAAACTAATAGCTAACCCGCGTGAAATGTACACGTATCTTTGTGTTTACAACATCGTTTCGTGACAACCCTTTGATGTTTCCGATAAAGTATCCCCGAACGATCTTTTAATTCGAGTTAGAATTCCCACGTGCAATTCAACGGAAGACGCTGATGATTTAGCTTCACTGCTCTTTTGCTCTTTGCACAACCAAATGATTGCATAATGTAATTGTTTTCACGGCTACGATCTAATACGTGGGAGGTTTTTGACGATCCCTTCAACACATAAAATCAATCAGGCCAATCTGCAATAGACCTTACTAGCAGGCCTTTGGGTGTGACGAAGGTGATATGGCTTTGACGATGTCTCAAATCTGGTAATTGGTTGAGGAAACGGATGAGGAGTTTTGACAGGTGCTGCAGCAACTCCCGAAACAAATCAGCTGATGTTTTCGCTTGAGTGAACTTCAAGTAAGGGTGGGGTTCAAGGTGAATGAGGCAATGATGGGCGTTAATGTCACGTCCGTACGCTTGGAAACATATCGACTGATCTCATCGCTTAAAATAAACACGCACAACTTAACAGTCAAATATGGTACTACTCCGATTTTAATTATTTACGATTATTTTTTTTAAATCTGCAAAGCTAATTAAAAACCACAACGATCTATCATTTCAACCGACTTAAAAAAAGAAGAGCCATTGAGAATACACCGAGGCATTATCTCCTGCATTTAACATAAGCATATTCCTACTTGTCAAACTCGCCACCTATTGCAATGCCCCTGGGATCTGCGTGTCATGGTGATGAAGAAATATCTCCATTTCCCATTCAGATCCCATTCTTTATCGTTCAACGCGACTTCACGTTTTAACACAAAAAGCACGAAATTGCAGGGGTTTTCCGTGTAATCCGTTTGTTTCCGTTGTCCAATTTGCTGCCAGAATCGATCTGATTTGACAGCCCGGAAATCCCCGAGAGTCCCCGAGGATTACCGATGACTTCGCGCTCATCCACTGCCTAACTAGCACACAATAATATTGAATCACCACTAAGAACATGGTCAAACAATCCGCTCCTTCATACACTAGCTCCATCTCTGATTACAACCAAGAGCCTGTTTGATCAAAGCACGCCAAATTCCTCAATTATGCAGATAGAGCAATTGATCTCATTTCCTTCCCCTAGAGTTGTTAGCTTAAGTCCGTTAAATCTATCATTCGTGTTAACACCCAACATGATTTTTGTAATAAACTGTTTGTTTGGTACATAATCTGTTTCCGTCATTATCATAAATAAAAACAACAAGTGCTCGCCTTGAATTAATCTTATCGTATTTCTAAACAAATCAAAACACTTACCTATAAATTCTAATGCTTCTTCAAAATACTGTTTGAGGTTCTGTTGGCCACTATCGGAGGCCGGAATTCGCTTGTATTTGATTCCCTGTTTTTCATAATAAAGAGGCACATGTGACGTCACGTTGAGAACATGGGTAATACGATGTGAACGTAACCTGTCCAAGCTGGCAGCATCTCGTTCATTTCCTGAAACGAAATAAAAATTCACATTTAACATTGCTTACATTCATACTAAATGAATTTGATAGTTTTAAAACCACTATTCGCTAACGCAGTGAAACAAACGTATTACTATCAGGCGATACCGCACCAGTAATATATTTTCGTTTCATTAGATCCAGTTTTTTTTAATTTTCCTGATTTTCTTTGAAAAGGGGAACAATTTCAAGAAACGAAAGTTTTTAGTTGTAGACAACTCTTTCATCGTAATCCCTTACCTAATCGAGATAAACAAACACTATCAGCTACCTTCCTCTCGAACAGACCAACGTATCGAAAGATGACCCTTATTATACAACACTCAGAAGGGGCGAGGGCTGATCGCGGAAATGGGGCTTATCTCGATGACTAAGCACGCACATGCGTCCGGTACAAAGAGGTGACCAGGCGATGACCACGGGCCGGTCGAGTTAGAAGAAAGGGGGTCGGAATGTTAACAACTTCCAAGAATATAACAGTCAAGAGAGGAGTGAATCATCGGCTTGATATGCTAGTAATTATCCAAACGTAATTAAAGGACAAGGGGCTGCCCGAATATCCGCCGTATGTAATTCAGACCGGATGTGGGAAAATATTTTAATTTGAAATAATAGAGGCCAGTATTTGGTGATACATCTTTTGTGCAGGGAGTTATGGAAATTTACACCAAAGGACAGTTTACACAAGTAGCATGTTCAAGATGCATCCTGTTTGTATACAAAGGAATGTTGATATTTTACACAATTTAGGAGAATTAATTCAGAATATACGACGGATCCTGTTGATTTAGATAGGCATCAGTCGTACGACAGCGAATGACGCAGTTTCCGTCAGTATACCAAGCAATCTTCGTGTTACGGAAGTTTACGAAGAGGACACCAAACATCTGCATTTTCACAAACTGAATCATTAATTTAATTAAAACTAAAAGTCAAACTCATGTTTCAAATATTTGGTCTGAACCTTCCTCTCTGGTGTCAAGAAAACAAAAGACAATGGGGCTACACTTCATTAAGTCACCGAAGGGGTGAATCATCTCTCTCCTCAAAGCCTTCTTTGTTTGGGAGGGGAGAGAATCCTGAGCCCCTGCGAAGAGGCTTGCCCCACGCCATCCCAGCCTCCAGGAGGGTATAACTCGGTTAAAGTTTCTTAGCAAAGCTAAAAACCTATTTTGAAACTCCGTAATCGTACTTTATACACGATTCTCAAACAGAAGATACTAAAACAAATATTTTCTAAAAAAGAATAAAGTTTTGCTCACTTCAATACTTGTAAAACGCTGGACAACAAACTCCAACAAAGGATTGGCTACTCTGTCTCACAGTTTCATACCCATTTGACGTGTGTTATAAATATCCTATTACTCTATGCTACACCAAATTAATTACTCATATGTATATTTAAACAAACTATCTAGCATGTCTGTCGGGGGTTGAGAAGTATGCTATAACATCAGAGTAAGTAAACAGTGACTTATGCTTACCTAGATACAGAAATGGCAGAACTTGTGATGCTACTGCAGCTTCGATCTCTGCTGCTGATTCGGTGAGGTGGTTGGTGGGGCTGTAGAGAGGACGGTGGTAGTCACATTGGACCACGCTGTCACAGAGGTCCCCATGCTTTGTGCTGAAATCTTTCAATCCCCCTGAAACATAAATAATAATAATTACACATCAGAACTATTTAAAAAAAATAATAATAAAAACATTTTTTAGAAAATATGAACTGATGTTTAGATAAATGTAAATATACACGAGGAATATATACCCATAAACCTTACTAGAAACACGCCCATGTAAATCCTGCTCTATTCGTCATACACACCTAATTCATTATGGCAGTTTGATCGTACGCCAGACACTTTTAGTGATATCATTAAGACAAATTTGCTCGACACGATGAAGCTCAGGGGGAAGATAGTTAGCAGTACCCAACATCCCAGTGTAAAATTCGCCACATGCAGAATGAGCCTTGGATTCTTGTGGTTTGGCTCTGAAAACTGACACCAATTCGAGTCGGGGCTGTGATAAGGAGGACACTTATCCAAGAGAAAAAAAGAGAGGAACGGACTTGAGGCAACGTACACTGACTGTATACTCGGCAATGTGTTATATACACATGGGGGTGACTCACGACCACCGTACGTGGAGTTCGTGAACTTCCCAGGAAACACTGCCCCCAACACATGGGCCTAACTGCAGCTTCAGCGTCAGCCCCTCGATAAGAGAAAATTATTTCCGTGGAATTTAGAAAGTATATCGTCTGGGGTGCAAGCGGAAAGGATCTTGGTGCAAGTTTATGTTCGACACATGTGGTAATTCCACAAACCATTGTGTTGGTTGCCACAATATTGTGCTGCAGATTGTTACAGTTTTTTAATTCCTGATGCACTTCCCAAATGCATACGTTTTGGAAAACAAAGACCTCTTAAAAGTTAGAAAATAACGTGTAAATGTGTCAAAGTTATGCAACAATTGAAATAAAAGTGCTTACAGAAATAAATAAGATAATAAAGACACTATAAATTCATACTGATGTAAGCTGAGATAAATTTAAAAGGTAATTTTATTCTGAATTCAAATGTATTCTTAAATGCATTAGCGACAAGCCCGCTTCCTGCCCGAGCTAATGTATTCCACACACGTTATGTTCAGATAACATTCTTATTGTCCACCTTAACCTTTTATAAACTGACCAACTGCTGCATGCCCTTTGAAATTAACCACACTCAACCGAATGTTATCAAGCGCAAACAAGCTATTATGCAACAGCTGTCTTTGAGGTAGATAGGCATTGATCGGAGTTCTCACCGCCCGTCAGTAATGTATCACAGCCCTGAGCAATATAATCAACATAAACACCAATATTCTCAAGGTCCATCCCAGCCAAATATTCTGGACATTCGGTGATTAATCAGATATGTTATTTGAGGACGTCTCGGAAGGAAACCCTCATTGTTTGGCTTTGCCAACGGAAAACAACATTGGTAAACAAACAAGGCGCTCTCACTGTTCTCTCTACACAGCAGGGATGAGTCATCGCGAAATTAGGTCAGCGCTCTAGATTGGACTGGTGTCGGCGCTGACTAAGATCCGAGATACGTGGGCTATTTCTACTCGGTGTGATGATTAGGAGTGAAATTGACATGAAATATAGATATATGTGAGTTGTAACTTTTGAAATTGACATGAAATGAACAAGTTGAGTGACATGTGTTGCCTCTGTAAAGGTGTCGCGGGAAGCAGGAAGCACAGGTGTGTTCAGGGCGTCGGATGACAGGCGACACATGGCCTATTGTAGTGGACGGAAAACTTTAAGAGTTGAATAGGAAAATTAATTTATCGCTTACCTTTCAACACAAACGTTTCCCTCCCTTCTCGATGAAGCGATGAAAGCACGTAATGTAGAGCATTGTCAGTCGTGATATCACGTAAGTCGTTAGTTTGTTCATCATATAAGACAACCTCCTTGGGGAGTTTTTTATTGATGATATCTTTTCCTTCTTTCGTCGTCACTAAATCCGACACAGAAATCTTTCCCTGTTGAAGTCTCTTTTTACTGAATCTATCCGAACAGCTGATGTTGACCGCTCCGTGAATATGACTCAGGTTGAAAGCTAAGAATGGTCGACAGTCTAGAACTAACACTGGCTTGGCTTTGGTCAGTTTGGTGGCGAGTTCGTGGGGCAATATTGTCCGTGCAGGAATACTGGTCTTGTTCAAAGACAACGCACTGGTCAGAGAACATGTAGCAAAAGACATGGATTCAAACTTGCACTTTTTAGGCATGTGGTAATCGTCACGATCCCCCGCCGAGCCCCCAAGTCGTGAAAAGTCCAGTTTTAAACCAATTCTCCTCCTGTCAGGAAGATTGTGATCTGGAAATGTGATGCTGCTTGGTGCTAGCACTTCTACATCCCCTGATTCAGGCATCGGTGAGTCTGTGAGACTATACACAAATAATCCTTCCTTAATCCAACGGAGCCAAGACCATAACATGGGCTTCCCGATCAGCTGACGTGGGTACTCACAAACACTCTTTCACACAAGCGCTCGGTTTCTAATACAACAAGCAAATGCGAGTGTTTCTACCCTCGGTCGCTATATAACCATTCCGTGGAAAGTCACAGTTAAATCATCACTCTCAATAAAACAGCTGGTCTGAGTCACACACGCACAGTGACTGTTTCTCCGCGTATGAGCGAGTGTGCTTCGTTTACATGAATGAGCGATATATAAGCGACGGCCTGACTCCTAGCGGCGAAACCTCTACGCTGGGCTCCGTCTCGACATATCGTAAATATGCGCACGCTGACCATGCGCGGAGAGAGCCGGGAACCAGCTCACGAATCAGAGAGATGATGTCATGTTCGGTTATAAATAGAACTGAGGGGAATTATGATTTTGTGCGTATCGGTCGTTTCCGCGATGACTCGGTTATCTCCGTCTTAACTGTCACTGTCATATCAACTCGTTGCCAGGCGTGTTTGCAATGGGACATGTGAGTGAGTGTCGCAGTTGTACATTGCTTGATGAATCAAGGTTTGTTTGGTAGAATAAAGACTTCCGTCGCTGTTGACTACTGTTAGAAACTGTTGGCAAATGTAATTCAGGTAAAAACAACAAACATGAAAACACCAACAATAATGATGATAATACTCGTGTTTAATCATAATTAACAGGTAAACGTAAGGTAAGTTTATGATATTTATCAGTATAAGATATTTCCAAGACAATGGGGTAGCTCAGAGGTTAGGATGTCATTTTTGCCACCCCTAATACCCTGGTTCGATTACACAAGAGGGTACTCGATGTGATTTTCTATATTTATTCTGTAGAATTACCGGAATAAACCAAAACGGTAGTATCAAAATCCCTTACCCTTACACAATGTATTGCATTCTAACCAACTGATACAATCAAATAAACACTGATGTGAAAATGCACCATAACATATTTATAACCACAACAAGTACTTTGGGTGTTTCAAACATAATTCATTTTGAAAACAACTGCTCATGATGTAACAAAAGTTACGCAATAATTTGTATTAAATATTAGGCTAACGCATAGTCCCCGAAGGCATCTTACGGGAGACAGCTGAAAATCTAGACATTGTTGATGTAGGGTCATATAATTACATTACGTGAGCTGGAGGGTTAATTAACTAAATTCGGGGACTCTTACATATACTCATGCCAATAATGGTTGTCACCCCCTTCAATTTTTTTAATTGGAGTGGGGTGGGGAGGGGGGTGACATGGTCCTTGTGCGAGTTTGTTGCCACACCCCTTTGCTCGTGGATTTCACCACGTGGTATAGGTGGATGACGTGTTGTGTACTCTCCAAGTTGTGATATAACTGATATACTGTCGTGACTAATCACTTCATAGACTGAAATATTGTTGAACACGTTTCACTCTCAACAGCTGAAATAATGTTGAGAAACATCCGCTTGATATAACGAAACTACTGTTACATAATACCCTAATATGTTTTTATATATAATACAGTCACATCGAAAAGATCCGAATGAATCACTTGAAATATGTGAAATTACTAATATTTAGTATGCAACCTTAGGATATCAAATTATACATATTGTTAATGTCGTTAGAAAACTGTCCATGTATATTTATTATGCAAATTGCTTAAGAATAACTTGTTGATTAATTATTATTCTATACATATGTTGTTATATACATTTCTGCTGACTGACCACCTGTGTGAACATAGCCGTAGGCCTACATTCTTCCACCCGTGAAGATCCGGGTGACAACTGGTCTTCAGCAACCCATGCTTGTCGTAAGAGGCGACTAACGGGATCGGGTGGTCAGGCTCGATGATTTGGTTGACACATGTCATCGTATCCCAATTGCATAGATCGATGCTAATGATGTTGGTCACTGGATTGTCTGGTCCAGACTCGAATATTTACAAACCGCCGCCATATAGCTGGAATTTAGCTGAGTGCAGCGTGAAACTGAACTCACTCACTCACCCACTCACTGGAATATTTCTGAGTGCGACGTTAAACAACAAACCAAGCCAAACCTACATTCTTCATGAATAAAGATCTATATAAATTATTCATATTTACTGGCAGGGGGGTTAGTTTCAACGCAATTTTAAATATCATTTCGGAAATTTCGGATTGTGTCTGCTTGACGTGGGAGGAAAGCCCGAAGTGCTGTTAGACGCCAGTGTATACTACTTTGGTGAAACCGGACCCGGATGTGATGCTGACAGATCTTGACAAGGCGAATCTGGGATCACAGGGTTCTGATACACCTAAGGGGCGTAACTCTGCACGGATCAAGCAGCCGTAGACGACTGATCCACCTGTGCCCGAACAATAACAGTAACAGGAGAATAAAAGTAAGAATGAGTGAGTGAGTTTACTCTTACGCCGCTTTCAGCAATATTCTCGCAATATCGAGGAGAGGGACATCAGAAATGGGCTTCACACAATGTGCCCATGTGGGGAATCGAACCAGGATCTTCGGCGTGACGAGCCAACGCTTTAACCACTAGGCTACCCAACCCCCCAGGAGGAGAAGAAAAATAGGAAGAAGACGAAGTAGTAGTGAGGTTAGGCGAAATTGGGTTTAACGTCGTGCTTGAGAATATTTCGCTCATAAGACGACGTGAATGCGTGTGTATGTGTATGTGTGCTGCTTGTACTAGCCCAGACTGAAGCTGGTTTTATAGTGCTAGCCCATTGAGATACCATGCCGCAGTGAAGCATGAATACCCTACTCCGACACATTACACTGACTCCGAGCCGACCAGTCCTTGTTGTACCCATTAATGCCAAGCGCCAGACTGGGACCAACAAGTACCATATTTTAACGTCTTTTGGTATGACGCGGTCGGGGATCGAACCCGCGACCTTCCGCTCTCCGGGCGGACGCTCTAACCACGAAGTAGTAGTAGTTAGTAATAGTAGTAGTAGTACAAGTAGTATTAGTAGTATTTGTAGTATTAGTATTAATAGTAGTACCAGTAGTTGCTGTTGTTACCGTTGTAGTAGCAAGAAGATCATCATATAAAAGAACACAATCATATCAGACGCAACATTCGCAACGATATTAACAAAGGCAATATGACAAAACACATGCATAACACAAAGCGCATTAGGTTGTGGTTTTAATACACCCAAGCTAGCGTGTGCACGGAGCTGCCAGTATCGATGCCCTTCTGTGATAATAGACGCCACCTAACCCTCAATACACAAGACGGAGCACCGTCGCACACCTGGTGAGGAGCGATGTGTTGCGACAATGACCTGACCCCCCGCTTACCTGCTCCACTGCGCCCGATCCCCTTTGATCCGACAATGCAAATCTTGTTGGCTTAGATCCCTCGATCCATGCACATACATACTCGGAACAATACCCCGACTAACAGCACCCGGATTAATTACACGAAATATTAAGCATAGGTTTCCGTAACTGTTGCTACACTACGGTGGGGAGGGCACTCGGCTTGAACGGGATACATTGTTGATATACGACACTAGAGCTGACACCTTGGGTGAGACATTGGTAGCATTGCATTGTCAACCCGCCGATAGCATTGTCTATATAGAACAGGGCCACTGGAGGAATGTGAGTACACACTTTAATACCGCATGACAAAAATTGTTACTTATGCGTGGAAACGTAAATTGGTGTTAAATCGTATACCATGTAATATCAATATTTTAGTATATATGTTATTCGAGATATAAGTGTTTGGTAGATATCACCTATATATAGATTTCCCTACCTGTCTACAACGTCAACCTATCTATATGACGTGTGCATACGTATATTGGTGAACTCAATTCAATATACCCTTGTCTCACATTATGACGTTACATCGAATATATATATATTGATTGTTACTTATTATGTATATGACAAACATATTATTGGTTTGGTTCGCCGCTTTTAGCAATATTCCAGCAACATCACGGCGGGGAACACCAGAAATGGGCTTCACATATTATTACTGACAACTACCTATAACATTTATATGGGTCAGATATTTTCGAATTTATAATATTTACCTCTGGTACAATTGTTTCGCGTTTACCTTGGATGACTGGTACACATTCTGTGTATATCATCTTTAGCCGAGGTCTATTTCAACCTGAGTACCCTGTACAATATTTACCTGGATGAACGGCATTCATTCTCTGTATTTTGTGTTTATTTTCCATCTATTCTAATTATACAAAACTTACATGGATATATGTTGTTCGTTCTTGGTAAATGAAGTTTACCGTTTATATTTGTTATTCATACTAGGTATGCAGGGTTTTCCTTCGTTGCACTATTTATAGTAAGTCGGGGTATATGATATTTATCCTTGGTATCAGTTATTCAATCTGTATATGCAATATTTACCTTCGTAACAATTCATTGTGCGTATATGATATTTACCTGGTTATTGACAGGTATATGACGTTAAGCCAGAGTATGTTATTAAAATTCTTGGTATACAATATTTACCTCGTGTATAACCAATTCTGTGAGTATACGATAACAATGATACTTTTCATGTCCTGGAATCTGACCACCGAAGCAGTCGTAAGTCAAAATCTCAACATACTTGAACTTGACAAAGGTAGTTTTAGTTTTCATTTTAAAAACAAACCAAATGACGGCTATAGCCACTAAAACCCTAAAATATACTTCATATAATGCAGTAAACCAGCATTTGCAATGATATCATTCGAAGAGATACGCACCTGAAACGTTTGCAGTGACATTATTCGAAGAGATACGCACCTGAAGCGTTTGCAATGACATTATTTGATAAGATACGTACCTGGCCTGAAGCGTTTGGTAATGACATCATTCGAAGACATACGTACCTGAAGCGTTTGGCAATGACATCATTCGAAGAGATACGTACCTGAAGCGTTTGGCAATGACATTATGCGAGGAGAAACGCACCTGAAGCGTTTGCAGTGACATTATTCGAAGAGATACGCACCTGAAGCGTTTAGCAATGACATTATTCGAAGACAAACGCACCTGAAGGGTTTGAAATGACATTATTCGAAGAATGACATTATGAAGCGTTGTATATTGACATTAAGAGATACGCACCTGAAGCGTTTAGCAATGACATTATTCGAAGAGAAACGCACCTGAAGCGTTTTATATTGACATTATTCGAATTGATACGCACCTGAAGCGTTTACAATGACATTATTCGGAGAGATACGTACCTGAAGCGTTTGG